TCAAAGGTTGTGGGTTCGAGTCCCACCAGAGTCATGTTTTGCTAACAAAGCAGACAAACCTTTGTAAGAAATACTGCTTTAAGACTACAACATGAAAAACAATCTTAACAAATCTCTAACATAGGTGATTAACTAGATGCATTCAGAAGGGATCTTAGAATAAGAAGTTAAGAAAGTTGAATAAATATTACCAACAATTAAGTTTAAATTAATAATGCTGGAAACCTGAGCTTAATGTATCACAGTATACTTTGATTCTTTATTTATAGTAAAGGACTCAAAGAGCTGTTCCACTTAAACCATGGAAGTCAGCTCATATCGTTAGGTGCAAATCAGAAACATCTTGCCCAATTTCAAGAAACTTTTTATTAGTTAAGAAAAAAAAAGTACAGAGCTTTCTACCAAGGACCACCTAACATGTCTGTATGGCCTTCTTTTGTCACTATTGGCAGTAAGTTGTACCAGGAAAAGGAAAGGGATGAAAATGTTGTTCTTTATATTGTTAAATGGAAATCTCAACATATAAAAAGAAGTCTAAATTTCTGATTCGTCCACCAAAGAACACTTCAGAAACTTTTGACAGTTTTAATATCTTTGTCAGCTTAACAATTTAACACATTTTTCATTTTCTGATCAATTCAAAAACACTGGATAACCTTTGAATTTTTTTTGGAAAAAGACATCTTTTTTTATTTTTATTTGCCAGTGGCCTAAAAGAGTGCATTAAGTTTTGACTGTTTATCGCTCTAGCAATTTTTTTTCGATGACCTTCCGTGCTCTAGCAGTTGAGGCTCTGTGGCGCAATGGATAGCGCATTGGCCTTCTAGTGTATTGAAGTTCGAGTCCCACCAGAGTCGTGTTTTGCTAACAAAGCAGACAAACCTTTGTAAGAAATACTGCTTTAAGACTACAACATGAAAAACAATCTTAACAAATCTCTAACATAGGTGATTAACTAGATGCATTCAGAAGGGATCTTAGAATAAGAAGTTAAGAAATTTGAATAAATATTACCAACAATTAAGTTTAAATTAATAATGCTGGAAACCTGAGCTTAATGTATCACAGTATACTTTGATTCTCTATTTATAGTAAAGGACTCAAAGAGCTGTTCCACTTATCCATGGAAGTCAGCTCATATCGTTAGGTGCAAATCAGAAACATCTTGCCCAATTTCAAGAAACTTTTTATTAGTTAAGAAAAAAAAAGTACAGAGCTTTCTACCAAGGACCACTTAACATGTCTGTATGGCCTTCTTTTGTCACTATTGGCAGTAAATTGTGCCAGGAAAAGGAAAGGGATGAAAATGTTGTTCTTTATATTGTTAAATGGAAATCTCAACATATAAAAAGAAGTCAAAATTTCTGATTCGTCCACCAAAGAACACTTCAGAAACTTTTGACAGTTTTAATATCTTTGTCAGCTTAACAATTTAACACATTTTTCAATTTGATCAATTCAAAAACACTGCATAACCTTTGAATTTTTTTTTTGAAAAAGACATCTTTTTTTATTTTTATTTGCCAGTGGCCTAAAAGAGTGCATTAAGTTTTGACTGTTTATCGCTCTAGCAATTTTTTATTTTCGATGACCTTCCGTGCTCTAGCAGATGAGGCTCTGTGGCGCAATGGATAGCGCATTGGACTTCTAGTGTATTGAAGGCATTCAAAGGTTGTGGCTTCGAGTCCCACCAGAGTCGTGTTTTGCTAACAATGCAGACAAACCTTTGTAAGAAATACTGCTTTAAGACTACAACATGAAAAACAATCTTAACAAATCTCTAACATAGGTGAATAACTAGATGCATTCAGAAGGGATCTTAGAATAAGAAGTTAAGAAAGTTGAATAAATATTACCAACAATTAAGTTTAAATTAATAATGCTGGAAACCTGAGCTTAATGTATCACAGTATACTTTGATTCTCTATTTATAGTAAAGGACTCAAAGAGCTGTTCCACTTATCCATGGAAGTCAGCTCATATCGTTAGGTGCAAATCAGAAACATCTTGCCCAATTTCAAGAAATTTTTTATTAGTTAAGAAAAAAAAAGTACAGAGCTTTCTACCAAGGACCACTTAAAATGTCTGTATGGCCTTCTTTTGTCACTATTGGCAGTAAGTTGTACCAGGAAAAGGAAAGGGATGAAAATGTTGTTCTTTATATTGTTAAATGGAAATCTCAACATATAAAAAGAAGTCAAAATTTCTGATTCGTCCACCAAAGAACACTTTAGAAACTTTTGACAGTTTTAATATCTTTGTCAGCTTAACAATTTAACAAATTTTTCATTATCTGATCAATTCAAAAACACTGCATAACCTTTGAATTTTTTTTTTAAAAAAGACATCTTTTTTTATTTTTATTTGCCAGTGGCCTAAAAGAGTGCATTAAGTTTTGACTGTTTATCGCTCTAGCAATTTTTTGACCTTCCGTGCTCTAGCAGATGAGGCTCTGTGGCGCAATGGATAGCGCATTGGACTTCTAGTGTATTGAAGGCATTCAAAGGTTGTGGGTTCGAGTCCCACCAGAGTCATGTTTTGCTAACAAAGCAGACAAACCTTTGTAAGAAATACTGCTTTAAGACTACAACATGAAAAACAATCTTAACAAATCTCTAACATAGGTGATTAACTAGATGCATTCAGAAGGGATCTTAGAATAAGAAGTTAAGAAAGTTGAATAAATATTACCAACAATTAAGTTTAAATTAATAATGTTGGAAACCTGAGCTTAATGTATCACAGTATACTTTGATTCTCTATTTATAGTAAAGGACTCAAAGAGCTGTTCCACTTAAACCATGGAAGTCAGCTCATATCGTTAGGTGCAAATCAGAAACATCTTGCCCAATTTCAAGAAACTTTTTATTAGTTAAGAAAAAAAAGTACAGAGCTTTCTACCAAGGACCACTTAACATGTCTGTATGGCCTTCTTTTGTCACTATTGGCAGTAAGTTGTACCAGGAAAAGGAAAGGGATGAAAATGTTGTTCTTTATATTGTTAAATGGAAA